TATTGGTTTTATGCCTTCTCTACTTTTGTTTATCTATTAAACAAATTGTCATCTTTTGCACTTTAAGGTAAATGTTCATAATAGGTATTGTTTAATCAAGATCCAAACTATTCTAAACTCAAAGTTTTCAACTATCTATGCTATCCTTGGCTTAAACCATACAATGCACACAAATTACAAAGTAAGTCTAAACCATGTTTATTCTTGGGTACTTCAGAAATCAAAGTGCATATCTCTATCTTGACCTTTCATCTAACAAGGTTTTTATATCAAGACATGTTATATTTCATGAAACCCAATTTCCATTTGCTCATTTCTCCTCATTTAGCATATAAAATTTTGATAGTTCAAAGATAGCTTAGAATCCTACAATAGATTATTTTGACTTAGATCTTGTTCCAACTACTTCTCCATCATTTTCCAATTCTGACAATTTGCAAGTGGCTACTATAGGTGATAGATTCTCAACTCAAGATCAGGTACAACCATCCTTTTCCTTAACTCCTTGTAATTCAATATCTATTACTTTAATCTTCATGACAAATTCGTCTCAATGAACACATCCAATCATTACATGGTCTCAAAATAACATTGTTAAGCCTAAGCAGTTATATACTGTCACAAAACATCCTTTTCTTGGACCTTTGGTACTTACCAGTTTTACACAAGCCTTCAAAGACCTTTTTTGGAAGCAGGCCATGTTTGAAGAATACAATGCCATGGCTTGGTTTAAAATAACACATGGGACTTGGTACCACCTACCTCTAATAGAACAATAGTTGGATGCAAGTGGGTTTTTAGACTTAAACGTAATCCAGATGGTACTATATCCAGATATAGGCTAGATTTGTTGACAAAGGGTTCTCACAATGACTAGGCCTTGACTTTAATGAAACATTTAGTCTTGTTGTGAAACCTATAACTATTAGAATTTTTCTTTGTCTAGCACTATAGTACAACTGCCACTTCACCAAATGGATGTGAACAGTGTATTTTTCCAAAGGGATTTGATAGAAGAGGTTTACATGAGACAACCACCAATGCTTTATGACAAAACCAGACCTAATTTTGTGTGCAAACTCAAGAAGGCCATTTATGGCCTAAAGCATGCACTTATAAAATGGTTTCTAGCTCTCAACAGCTTCCTTATCAACTATGGCTTCTCCAACTTTGTGGTAAATTCATCATTATTTATATATCACACTGATGGTGTGTTTGCCTATATGTTGGTATATGTTGATGATCTTATTTTGACAGGGAATGATAAACCTTTCTTCTGTGTATTTATTCAAGCATTATATTTTTAATTCTCTCTCAAAGATCTTGGCACTCTAAACTACTTTCTGCAAATTGAAGTGGTTATCACTGCTGAGGGAATCATTTTGTCTCAACATAAGTACATTTCAAAGATTGTACACAAGGCCAACATGATTGGTGCACAAGAATCCTTCTCTCCGTTATCCGTTTTAGTCATACTCAAACTCAATGATCGCTTGGTGGCAACTAATGTAAAAGAATTTAGGAAATTGGTCAGATCACTTCATTATCTCTCACTGACTAAACCAGAAATCAACTTTGTTGTTAATAAACTTTCCCAATTTATGCACAAGGCACCAACTTTACACTTTCAAGCTCTTAAAGAGTCTTGAGATACATCAAAGATACACTTTTCCATGGCTTATTCATTCAAAACAAGTCTAACATGTGTTTGCATGCCTTTTTAAACTCAAATTGGGCAGGAAATCCAAATAATAGAACATCTACCTCTACTTTCATTATGTACCTCGGTGGCACACTTATTTCATGGTCTTCAAAGAAACAAAAAGTAGTGGCAAGATCTTTTACAAAAGTAAAATATAGAACAATTACCACAACTGTTTGTGAATTACCTTGGATCCAATCACTTCTTCAAGAATTGCTATTGTCAATTTTTCACATGCAAGTAAATGTATTGAATAAGTAATATAGTGGTGAAGTAGAGTGTTGTTCGCACGGAGATTTGTTTCTAAAGTTTCACTTAGTACTAAATTATAAAACAAATTAATATTATTTCAGTAATTCAAAAATTGAAGAAAACTAATTAAAAACAATTAAAAGTCAACACTAAATAAACTAATAAACTAAATAAGTTGAGAAAAGCAATATATTAAAGACCTAGGATTATGGGTTTATTCAATGTTTCATTTGATACCAATTTTTTTTGTTATTTATCTTTTCTGGGTGGTTTTGCTAACCTAGAATCCAAAGCTATCGACAAGTCTTCATGGACTTGCTTGTGCAAATACCTAACTTAATTAGTTCACTATATGTCTATAGGAATCAATTAAATTAAGTTCCTTAAGCAAGAGTCCTAATGTGGCTATGTGTGACAATTGGCGTATGTCTACTCGAATTACGAATTAGAATACCTAAGTGATGTAAACATACACTATTCAAATCTTTGTGCAATATAAAATCTCTCTGTCGAGTTTCAATTCGATTCACAAATTAGTTAATTGTTAGCCAGACAATTAAAACCATTAAGAACAGATTTGAATAAGCAAAACTACACTCATTTATAATAAATAAAAGAGAAAATAATATTTAAACTACATGTTGAAATCCACTACAATCATAGAAAAATAGTTTAGCACATAATATCTAATAAAAACAATATCTAAAGAAATTTAACCATGAATCCAAGTCAAAGAAAATAAGAAAACACAAAAGTGGAGAAAGAAACTAAATATTAAAGCTTTGCAATCTCAATTCTCTCTTAAATTCTCTAGTTTTCTTACTTTGTTCTTGCCTCCAAATCTCCAGAATAGTTGTTTGTAGCCTCACCCTTAAAACCACTGGAAAAGGTTCCTTCAATAGGCTCCAAGTAACCTAATTTCCAAAATCACATCAATTTTTTATTTTTAGAAAATTGTCCAGCATTGTGGCTTTGATTTCTTGGTATGGTAGTGCTAAATTTTTGCCTTGGGAGTGCCACAGTGCTAATTTTTAGTGCCGAGGCTCTGTACTCTTGGGAAAATGTATGGTGCACCATTTTCGCTCAGCACCGAGGCCATGTTTTCCATCATTGCGGCCGTCTATCCACTTCAAATCTGAATTGAGAAAGTGGTAAAAATAAAAATTGTAGCACTATCTCTTAACTTTCCAAAGGTTAAAGAATGATATCAATTAGACTTCTGGGTTGAAATATATGCTCCAAATACCAAATTATGTTCAGTCCATGCATACTACTACACTACTCTAAATTAGACAAATATTTTGACCATAATCTAATCAGAACTAGGTGAAGTGGTAAACATAAAAGTTGCAGCCCTTCCTCTTAGAATTCTACTGGTCCATAAATCACCTCATTTAGAGTTTTGTAAAGAGAGATATGGTCCAAATACCACAATATATATGAATAAAGTCATCACTATATTTGTACGGATTTTTATCAAATGAGCCTTTTTCATCAAATTTCCTATAAAAGCAATAAGAGAAATTAGCAATACTACTCTTAAAAGTAATTTAAAATAAAATAACATAGAATTAAACTTAAATAACTTAAATTACATGCTCTACATATAATCAAACTTAAACTACAAAAAGACTTAAAATGTTAAAATCTGAACATAAAATCTCAAAAGTTTAACTACTTAAGTCTCCAAAACATGTCAAAATAACTCTATGTAATAAAGTTATCAACTAAAAGTACATATCACACCTCTAACAGTATTTTGTGTGATAATCTCAATGGTACGTATACTTGCAAGAATGCTGTTTCCTACACAAGGATGAAACATCTTGCACTTGATTATTTCCTTGTTCGGCCATAAGCTTTACGTGCAAAGAATCATTCACCAATTGAAATTTCTGGCAAATGCTGTGATATAAAAACATTAGAATGTGGAATATGAACAGAAAAAGGACTTGAGGCAATTCAGAATGAATTACAACAGAAAAGCAAGTCAGTAAATGAGATTCTTTGCGTGATTGTCATGTTTATGAATGCTGAAAAATTTCAGCATTCGAACGTGCAATGATTACCTCCATTATGTTGATTAAGGTGGTGCAATCAGCACCATTTCTGATATGACCTAAAGAGCAAGAGCGTGTCTCAAGTTTCCGATTCAAGCCTAACGCAAAAGGTCGGGCAGAGACTTTAGTGGGAAATAAAGTCTTGTGCAATGATTATCTCCATTATCCTTTTCCACCAAGTGTTTTGAGTTCTACTTTTATCTTCATCTCTCCTTGTACACTTCTTTAATCTTCTACTTTCACCTCCAAAATCTCCTTTCATTTTTTCATCTTACACCTACGAATCTAGAATTTTTATTTCCTTGCTTAAATTTGAACGTATTTGAATTTGATACACCTAAAATTAATTCTTTTGACAAACTAAAAAATAAGATTACCAAGGTACACAACGTTTATGAGACAAGGTTGAGAATGATTGGGATATGAGATTAATGTGGAAAAAAATAGATTGTAACCCATGATTAGGGGTTCAGGTGAGAAGACCAAGAGGACTTATCCATATTAATTTATTCGCTTCATCTCAAAGCAAATCTGCATTAAGGAAATTTGTTGCAATTCATTACTTTTAACCGTATATCCTTCATTAGACGTTGGAAATCGACTGGGGAACTTCTACATGTTAATAATTATTAATTAAGTACCAAAAATTGAATTTTGCTTTAATCAAATGTATATAATATTAAACCTTAAAATTGAAGTTCGTTTTCATTAAAATGTAAGTGAAACAATAAAGTTTCGTTTCGTCAATATTTTTATTACTTGCTTTTTACTGCTCGTCTTTTATTTTTTATTCATTTTGTATTTTTTCACTTTTTACTTTTAATTTATTTTTTGCATAGAAAAAATAAATAAGAAAAGCATGAAGCTTAGAAAAACATGCAACTCGGTTTTCACGCGTTATCATGGGTTTCTCAATGTAATCTTTTCCCTATAAAATATTCAAGAGTCTCCATTCACTCAAAATCTGCCTCTCCCCACTCTAATATCATCACCTCAATAGTTCAAAATACTCTTTGTTCAAATTTAAATCCATGTTCTTCTAAGAGCCGGCATGCTTGTCAGATTCATGCACATTTGATCCTCTTCATTCCCGAGTTAGTTGGTTTGTCTTTTGAGCAGTTTGGTAACCTGAGCTTTAAGGCCCAGATTATTGGTCTTGTATTAATTATATTTAGTCTCCAAGCTCAAGCCATCCTTACCCTGTTAAAATATCTTCTTGTAAAATGTTAAATAAAAGAGCTAAAGCACACTCATTGTTGTTCATGTTCACGTTTTTATTCTTACTAAATTTTAGCTTGTCTCAGGGTGATGAACTCGAGCTGCTCTTATCCTTCAAATCTTCAATCAATGATCCGTTGGGCTTCCTCTTCAACTGGAATTCCTCTACCCCATTATGCCTGTGGGATGGAATCACTTGCAACAATTTTTCTAAGGTTAAGGTAATTGAGCTATTGAGAGAAAAATTTCAGGACAATTTCATTCTCAATTTTTCATTTGACAGAATTGAGAAGATCAATTCTTTTGAACAATGATCTCTCTAGTGAAATTCCTTGTGACTTGGTTTCTTCTATGTCACTTCGATATCTTAATCTTAGTAACAACGATTTGACTGATACAGCTCCAAATTGTTCAATTTCACTGGAAATATTGGATCTCTGGAATAACTTTATTGCAAGAAAAATCCCAACACAAATTGGAGTTTGTTCGAATCTAAAAGAACTTAATCTTGGTGCCAATTATTTGGTGGGGACAATTCCAAGCACCATATCAAATATTGGCAATTTGCAAATCTTGACTCTTGCTTATAACAAATTGATTGGCCAAATTCCAGGTGCATTTGGCAAAATGAAGAGCTTGAAGTGGATTTACTTTGGCCATAGCCACCTTTCTGGAGAAATTCCACAAGAAATTGTTCATTTGGTTTCTATGGATCATCTTGATCTTGGCTCCAACAATCTCAGTGGAGAAATTACATCCTCATTTGGAAACCTCAGCAATCTTCGACACCTCTTCCTTTTCAACAACAAGCTTACAGGTTTGCTTCCTAGATCCATTTTTGGCCTCAAAAAGCTTGTTGAACTTGATCTTAGTTATAATCATTTATTTGGAGAGATCTCAGAACACTTAAATGAGTTGCAGAGCTTGGAGACTCTTCATCTTTTCAACAACCACTTTACCGATAAAATTCCAAATGCTCTAGCATCTTTGCCTCGTCTTCAACAAGTTGATCTTTCATCAAACAACTTGACCAGAGATTTTCCTTCTTTGATCTACAATATAAGTTCCATCGAAGTTCTAGACTTAGCTTACAACAACTTAAGCGGAATCATTCCACCATGTTTGGGAAACTTCAGCAAAAGTGTTTCAGTTTTAGATTTGCGAATGAATCATTTTCATGGAACAATCCTTGAAACTTTTGGTGAAGATTGTGGGTTGAGGAATGTCAACTTCAATGGCAACAAATTAAAAGGTTCTTTACCATAATGCTTGGCCAATTGTAGAACCTGGAAATGATGGATATTGGCAACAACAAGATAAATGGTACATTCCCCTATTGGTTAAATACTCTGTCAGAATTACACGTTCTTGTTTTACGATCAAACAAATTGCATGGTGTCTTACAAAGTTCCAAGACCATCCATTCCTTTCCTAAGTTACAGATTCTTGACCTCGCTAACAATGAATTCACTGATCCTTTGCCCAAAGATATAATAAAAAACATGAAGGCCATGATGAATCTTGATGAACAACAAAGTTCTTTGCAATATATGTATCAAAGGTATTATCCTTATTATGTTAATTTGGCTGTGAAAGGAATTTACGTTGAACTGCCTTATATTTTGTCAACATTCACATGCATTGACCTTTCAAATAATAACTTTCATGGAAAGATTCCAAGGGTTATTGGAAAGCTTAGCTCACTTATAGGGCTCAACCTTTCTCATAACAGCCTTGGTGGTCATATCCCTACATCAATGGGAAATTTGACCAGTATGGAATGGTTAGACCTCTCTTCAAACAAGCTCACGGGGCAGATTCCTAATGAATTGAAAGATATGACATTTCTTGCCTTTTTAAATCTTTCGCATAACCAACTCACAGGACCAACTCCTCAAGGCAAACAATTTAGTACATTTGAAAATAGCTCATATGAAGGAAACTTGGCACTTTGCGACTTTCCATTGTCAAAACCTTGCTACAATGATGGGAGGAAACGATCATCTCCATCATTCTTGAAAGAGGTAAATGACTCAGAGACCAAGATTAGTTTCAGTTGAAAAGTTGTGATGATGGGTTACGGATGTGGACTGATATTTGGAATCATTGCTGGATATGTTACATCCAGAAATGGTGAACCAAAATGGTATGTGACATTGTTTCAAGTCAAATATCATTGAAAAGGAATAAGATACTCATGAAACTAGTCATTGCAATTGACTTTGGAAGTTATTGTAACTTGCGTTTCTTTGTACTCAGTTCCAACTGTTTTCGCTCCAAGGTCAAGAATTCATGTACATGTCTTTGTCTTTCGCTATAAGGCAGAGGAATTGTTGTCATAAAATAGCCATGTTTTTCATCAACAAATACATGGCAGTGAAGTGTTGTTGCCGCTTTTGCTTAATGCATGACTTCTCTTGCAATTTGCTTTTAATCATTTATTCTTACATGCATCTATACAAAAGAATCTCTTTTTGTTATATGGAAAATACAACTATCATTGCCATAATGTTGAAACATTATGTCTTAGAAACAGATACTACTTTCACCCATTTAAAAACTAGAAATGCTACTATTCAAAAACATTTATATAAAAAATTGTAGCTCATTGAAGTAGATTATGGCTTCTTTAAGTCTTTTGATGTTCTTTTGTTATATTGTTCTTTTGTTAGACTTCAATATTATATTCTTGGATTTACCATGCAAGTGTACGTATCGTTAACATGTAATATAACAGAAAGAAAGTTCGTTCTCATGAAGAATTGACCAAATCATTTTGCTAATTAGTAAAACTAAAACAACTTAATCTTATCCAAACAACCAAATTTAAAACTACTAACAATTAAAGAAACTAAAATTAAAAGTAGAGCTAAAAGTAGAAATAGCAATTTAATTAATTTCTCTAAATCTCTTGTATTCCCTTTTCACTTACTAGATAAGCTTGAGTTGTTAACCAAGAATTCTAATTTATTTATAAGCCTCCGTTGAGTTTCTTATAAAAATATCTCTCTCAATAAATTTACTATATATCTATGCAAATTGAAATTAAGAAATACTCATTAAGAATAAACTCTAATTTTGGCTACATATGACATGTAAGTGTATGTCTACCCTACATCAAATCAATCATCTCATGCAATTGATTTTGAACATATGATATTTCATCCAAGGCTTACTCTAAACTCTTTCTCTTAGTTCTATTTAGGTTCCTAAATCAATCTAATTGGTGATCAGGCAATTAGAGGCATTAAGAGCAAGATTAAATAAACAAGTCAAACACTATCAATCATAAGCAAGAAAGAATATTAAAAATTCAGAGTACACATTAGGTTTAGTTATGATTCTAGATTAAAAAACTAATGACTCTATCCAATAGAGTTATT